AACAGTTAAGATCTCCTGGGTAAACTGGGAGGGGGTAGAAGGGAGAGGATGGGGAATGGGATCATGAGGGACAAAGAAGGCTGAATTGAGGGAGGGATGGAGGGGGAGAGCAATGAAAGAGATATCTTGATAGAGGGAGCCATTATGGAGTTAGGGAGAAACCCGTTACTAGAGAAATTCCCAGGAATCCACAAGGATGACCCAAGTAAGACTCCTAGCAATAGTTGAAAGGGTGCCTGAACAGTCCTACCCCCTATAATGAGATTACTGACTACCCTAATTGTCATCATAGATCCTACATCCCATAACTGATGGAAGCAAATGAAGTGACCCACGGCCAAGCACTGGGCTGAGCTCCTGGAGTTCAGTTGAAGAGAGGGAGGAGGGATCATATGAACAAGGGGGAAAGGGTTAAAACCATGATGGGGAAAACCACAGAGACAGCTCATTGACTATGGAATGATATCTAGGGAGCCTGTGTGGGACTGAACTAGGCCCTCTGAATGTATGTGACAGTTATGTTGGGGGGTGGCTGGCAGAGGGACCAGGATCTATCCCGGTACATGAACTGGCTCTTTGGAGCCCATTCCCTATGGTGGGATATGTTGCTCAGCCTTGATACAGTGGGGAGGGACTTGGTTCTGCCTCAACTTGGTATGCCAGACTTTGTTGACTCCACAAGGAAGTCCTTACCCTCTTCTGAGGAGTGGATGAGGGTGGGTGGAAGGGGGGGGCAGGAGAAGGGAAGGAGGGGGAACTGGGTTTAGTATGTAAATTGAAAATTTTTAAAAATAATTTATTTAACTTTATTTTATGTGCATTGGTGTCAGATTCCCAGGAACTGGAGTTACAGACAGTTGTGAGCTGCCATGTGGGTGCTGGGAATTGAACCTGGATCCTCTGGAAGAACAGCCAAGTGCTCTTAACCACTGAGCCATTTCTTATGGAAGAAGAGCCAAGTGCGCTTAACCACTGAGCCATTTCTCCAGCCCTGAAAATTTTTTTTAAAAAAAGAAAGTGAACTGGGATTGGCATGTAAAATAAGATTGTTTTTAATTTAAAAAAATTAATTTAAAAAATAAAAAAAGAAAGTGAGACACTGGGCCTGGCTTGAGCATCTGAGACCTCAAAGCCCACCCCCAGTGGCACACTTCCTCCAACAAGGCCACACCTACTCCAACAAGACCACACCTCCTAATAATGCCACTCCCTATGAGCCTATGGGAGCCATTTTCATTCAAACCATAATAGGAACTAATGGTTTACCTCTTGACCATGTGCTTACACTTTGGATTCCATTCCACCTCAACTTCTAAAGTTTTTTTCAGCCATTAACACTCTTTTCTCAAACATATACCTTTCAGATTCATTAGTAGTTCCCTTACTTCAATCTCATTAGAATAAAAATTTAGCCATAGTCTAGACTCTAGAAGATATCATCTTAAAAAAATCACAAAAATAGAAAGACATCCACATTTGACTATTCCCTCCTTCAATTACTTTAATATGTTTTTACTCTTTCTCATATTATACTATAATATGTATTACTATTTAGAAACAGTAGGTGATATTATTTGGCATAATAATACAATATCTTACCAAAGAGATGGATTCATTTTTAGATTTAGAAAATATCATGTTAATGACAATATGAAGATAAGAAAAAATCATTATATAAAGTGGAATTTTGGTAGATACTTAGAAAAACTGAGTAAAAGAAAAAAAAAAAGAGATGTCACCGGGTATTGGTGATGCATGCCTTTAATCCCAGCACTCGGGAGGCAGAGGCAGGTGGATCTCTGTGAGTTTGAGGCCAGCCTGGTCTACAGAGTGAGTTCCAGGATAGGCTCCAAAACAATACAGAGAAACCCTGTCTTGAAAAACCAAAAGAGAGAGAGAGAGAGAGAGAGAGAGAGAGAGAGAGAGAGAGAGAGAGATATGTCACCAGGCATTGGTAGCACATGCTTTTAATCCCAGCACTCGGGAGACAGAAGCAGGTGGGATCTCTGTGAGTTCAAGGCCAGCCTGGTCTACAGAGTGAGTTCCAGGACAGCCAGGGCTACACAGAGAAACCATGTGTTGCAAAAACAAAACAGTTTTTCACTGCAGTATTGGTCAAACCCTACAAACAAGATTGGCTTTTCCAGAATCCTGTCTAACTAGTCAACTCTTTGAGCCTCTTCACATTGCCTGCATTTTGGTGAGCATTCACATGGAACACAATGTTCTCAAATTGTGCACCCATCCATTGAGGTCTATCCATGTATCTCCTCTTCAAACCTTGTCAACAACCTTCCAATCTTATTCCCTTTGTGTTGCAGCAAATCATAAGCATAGTCCACACATTAGTGTACATTTTGACCTCAGGCTCTCTACCTCCCGGGAAAATGGACAGTATCTTTACCATTGTTACATTTCTTTAGTCCAACCATGTCAGAGCCACAACAGATTGGGAATGTATTGGCACAGCAGTCTATTTCCACATAATTTGGCATTTTCCATACAGCTTTTCAAAGTTTTTCTCCCAAGTCTCAAGAAATTCCTAACAAATCCACATATGCAAACTGAAGAACAGGTGTCAGCATAGAGAGGAATAAAAGCCCTGGCCTGCCTTTGGTGACAGAACTCTGGTTACACCATGTTTTCACTTTATCCTGTAGGGGATTAGTCAAAATCTACTTTATGATGGACAGTTGAAATCACATGATCATCTGGTTATTCATGGCCAACATCTACCTCAGCAAGCTACCAGTACAAGCTAGGAATGCTGTAGTTGCATTCAAATGAAGATACAGATTTGCTCCAATTCTAGGCGCCACTAGCATTTTTCTCTCAGAGGTTAAAGTAGACTCCATATCGGCTCTCTTACATCAAAAAGACTGTATAGTAGTCTGAGTGTATTGAATCTTGGGACAATGGGGAAGCCTGTATTTGTACAGGGCCCACTGAACACTGGTCATTTGTAGCACACATATAATAGACTTTTCCACATTGTCCTGTTGTATGAACTCTGTTCCCATAGAACATTGTTCCCTCCACTGAGAGGAACACCTCTGCCCACCCCAATAATACTTCCTGTCCCCTCCTTGGAGATGAAACTAACTGCATTCAAGGATGGTGTGCAAACAGCGCCCCCTCAACCATGAGATCTTCTGTCTGCTGAGAACATTTGATGATAGTGACAAGAAACGCTCTGTATGCTTCTCTGTCCCTGCTTTGAACTCTGTATACTGAGCTATCTAAAGAAAAGCTCTGGCTGGGCGTTGGTGGCGCATGCCTGTAACCCCAGCACTCGGGAGGCGAGGCAGGGGGGCTTCTGTGAGTTAGAGACCAGCCTGGTCTACAAGAGCTAGTTCCAGGACAGGCTCCAAAGCCACAGAGAAACCCTGCCTCGAAAGAAAGAAAGAAAGAAAGAAAGAAAGAGAGAGAGAGAGAGAGAGAGAGAGAGAGAGAGAGAGAGAGAGAGAAAGAAAGAAAGAAAGAGAAATCTCTGAAGAATGTCACTAATGTCACTAAAGACACTCTTGTGCAGCATAGTCTTGAGTCCCCTATTCTGTTGAATCCTGAGTTGAACTTAAGTTTCTCTGCATGGGTCATAGGTGGGTCTCGGTACTCATTTTTCTTTGCTCTTACAAAATGAGTTGGAATGAGTCAGTTGAATTCCTGTTGCCTACAAAATGTAGCACTCACCTCCAGCACCGTGTCTACCTGCATATCTCCATGCTCCATGTCATGATGGTAATGGACTGAACTTCTGAACTGTAAATGAACCACTCCAATTAAATCTTTTCCTTTATAACAAAAAAATGAGATGGACCAAGACACTCACTATGGCAATTTTTTGGGGGGGAGTTCAGAGACAGGGTTTCTCTCTGTAGCCCTGACTGTCCTGGAATTCCCTATGTAGACCAGGCAGACCTTGAACTCACAGACCTCCACCTGCTTCTGCCTCCTGAGTGCTGGTATTAAAGGTGTGTATCACCACTGCCTGGATCACTATTAGAATTTTTACCTTCAGTGTCCAAATTAATGCACTAAGCATTGGGGATAATTAGAAATGAAAGAAAACCTAAGGAAACTTCCCCTCAGTTAACTTTTTCTTTCTTTCTATCTTCTTTTTATTGAGATATAAAATATCTCAATATTACTAGGATATTTTATTGTGTATCCAGGCTGCACTGTAACTCATGATCCTCAGGCTTCAACTCCCCTAGTGTTGGGATTACAAGCGTATACCACAACATATGGCTTGGATGAAGTATCTTGATATGTCTCACACCACTGCTTCTGCAATTTCAAACAGTTTGACTCCAAGCCTCTGGAATGTCAAAGTCTTTCCAGGAGCTATAGGGTCTTCTCTAGAGTCTTATCAGAACCTGTGGTGTAATATTTTGTGATCTAACAAATAAAGCTTGCCTGAAGATCAGAGTGTGGAGCTAGCCATACTAGTTAGCCATAGAGGCCAGGCAGTGGTGGCACACACCTTTATTCCCAGCGCTTGGGAGGCAGAGGCAGGGGGGTCTCTGTGAGTTCAAGGCCATCCAGTCTAAAAGAAAAACAATCCCAGTACTTGAGAGTCACATTCCCTTAATGCCAGCACTAGGGAGGTGGAGACAGGAGTGATATGGCTGGGCAGAGAGAGTAATATAAGACAGGAGGAGACAGGAGCTCATTGCATTCAGTCTGAAGATTCTTAGAGACAGGATCGCCCCTTTGGTATGAGGAGTCAGTAGAGGTAAGAACTAGTGGCTGGCTGCTCTGCTTCTCTGATCTTTCAGCATTTATCCCTATATCTGACTCGGGGTTTTATTAAGACCAATTAGAACTCGTGCTACAAGAACCATGTCATCCAAAGAACAGACTAGAATAATTTGTGTTGGTTGGTGGTATGATTAAATCTCCAAAGACTAAACTAGAGCTCAGAATTGGAAATAAGATTATGTCTCTATATAGGACAGTAAGTGTATAGAATTATTTATGTGGGAACTGCGCAGGAGGCAATGGCAGGCTCAGCGTTGGCAATTCGGGATCGGCTCAGTGTCTGGGGCATGAGGGTCCTACATACCCGAGACTTTGGCTTGGACTCGTCGGAGAGCATGGACACTGGTGCTGGCTCCATCGGAGAAGCCGGTGGGGCCTTCGGAAAGAGAGAGAAGGCCGAAGAGGATCGCTGCTTCCGAGTGAAAACTAAAGAACAACTAGCTGCCTTGAAGAAACACCGTGAAGATGAGATCCAGCCCCACGAGCAGGAGATGGAGCGTCTTGCAGAAGCAAATTGAGCGGCATAAGAGGAAGATGAAAAACCTGAAAAGTCATCATTAAATGCATTCAGTCACCCGCAGAATGGCTGGTGTCATTTCCCACTTCTATAGAGATATAGTTCCTTCTGAGTGATTAATATTTTGGTCTGTGTGCTACTAACAGACAATAAAATGTCACCAGTAAGTAAAAAAAAAAAAAGAATTATTTATGTGAAGGAGAGTGTGATGGCTAATCTTGGTTGACAACTTGACTGCAGTTATCATAGACTAAAACCCCAGCAGCTGGACACACCAGTGAGAGATTTTCTTGATTGGACCCCAGGAGATGGGAAGACCCACCCTAAATCTGGCCACACCCTTTGGTGTAGAACTTATTTATTCTGTTGGCTCGGTTTCTTTAGAGAACCGGATTAATGCAAAGAACAAAGTGTTGGTGTTGATTGTTTTCTGGAATGGAGGAAGGTGTTTTGCTCCAGCAAGGAGTTAATGGACAGTATCTAGCTACGACATCATTGCTTGGTTCTATTCATGATAACTCATGCTTGTGTTTCAAGGCCCAACCACCTCTTACGGTGGCTATCGCTGGGATGGGAATGACATCTGCACGAATCAACTATGCACTGGACCTTGTTTTAAAACAATCTTTTCTCATTTACATACCAATCCCAGTTCCCACTCCCTCCCCTCCTCCTGCTCCTCCCACCTTCCCCTCACTCACTCCCATCCACTCCTCACAGAGCCTCCCATGGGGAGTCAGCGAAGTCCGTCACATCATGTTGAGGCAAGACCAAGGTCTTCCCCCTGTATCTAGGATGAGCAAGGTGTCTCTCCATAGGGAATGGGCTCCAAAAAGTCAGTTCACGCACTAGGGATGAATCCTGCTCCCACTACCAGTGGCCCCATAGACTGCCCAAGCCACACAACTGTCACCCACACTCAGAGGGCCTAGTAGGTTCCCCAGCTGTCAGTCCACAGTCAGGGATCTCCCGCCAGCTCAGGTCAGATTTCAGCATACATCCACCGTTCCATGCTCGGATATTTTCCTGGCTTGAGTTTGTGCTGATTTTGTGCATGCTATCACAATCCCCATGAGTTCATAAGTACAACTACCCTATTGTGTTCAGAACACAGTTTCTTTGAAGTCATCCACTACCTTTGGCTTTCTGTCCTTTCTCCCAAATAGATTTCTGAGCCTTAATGGAAGGACTGGGATCTAGAGGTCCCATTTAGGGGTGAACACTCTGATATCTTATTCTCTGCACATTGACCAGTTATGGAACTCTGTGTTTATTGCCATCACTGCAATAATTAGCTTCTCTAGTGATAATTGAGAGACTTAATGATCTATGCATAGAACAATAAGTCATTAGGAGTCATTTTAATATTATGTCCAAACAGCAGAATAATAGTTTCTTCTCTAAGGCCTATGACATACCTGTTTTGTTGTTGTTGTTGTTGTTGTTTGCATGGGTTTTTTTTCCTTTGGCCTCTTTAATGGTGTCAGGTATGGGCTCCATTTCATGGAGAGGACCTCAAGTTCAATAAAGAAGTGGTTGGTTCATGCCACTATTGCACCAGTGGGAGTGTCTTATCAGGCAGGTTGTTGTTATAGCTTGTAAGGTTTACACTAAATTTCATTTTTCTTGATGATGAATAATATTCCATTATGTAAATATAGAACATTTTCATTTTTGTTTTATCCATTAAAAGACATCTATGCTGTTTTGATTTCCTGGATATTGTGAATAGAGCAGCAAAGAACATGGGTGAAGAAGTATTTCCATAATAAAATATAGAGTCCTTTGGGTTTATGCCCAAGAGTATAACTGGATCTTGTGGTAAATCTATTTCTAGCTCTTTGAGGAACCTCCACATTGTTTTCCATTGTAGTTGTAACAGTTTTTACTCCCATCAGCAGTGAATAAGTGATTCCCTTTCCCCAAACACCTGCTGTTATTTGTTGTTTTGATCTTGGCCATTCTAACTGGGGTAAGATGAAATTGCAAAGTACTTTAAATTCCTTGGTAGCCAAAAATGTTGATCATTTTAAAATGTTTGAAAAACATTTGTCTTTCATCTTTTGAGAATTCTGTTTAGTTCCATGACCCATTTTTAATTTGTTTTGTTTTCTTTTGGGGGGTGTATATTCTAGATACAAACTCTCTACTGTCTATCATATGTACAGCTGATAAGACTTTTCTATTCTGAAGGCTGCCTCTTTGTGTGAATGATGGTATCCTTTGTTACAAGGAAGCTTTTCATTTCATGTGGTTCCATCTATCAATTGTTGGGCTTAATGTCAATATTTCCAGGGTGTTTAGAATATCCTTTCTTGTATCTTTAAGTTCAAACATATTCCCTACTTTCTCCTCAATCAGATCCAGTGTGTAGAGGTCCATGAATCTCTCAGAGTTTACTTTGTTGTTTTTGAGACAGGTTATTACTATGTAGCCCCGGCTGGCCTGGAACTCCCTGTGTGGAACAGACTGACCTAGAGTCCACAAAGATCCTGCCTCTGCCTCCTCAGTGCTGGGATTAAAGGTGTGGAGTACCACATCCAGGATGGAGTTGTTTTATACAGAATGAGAAATAAGAATCTAGTTTCATTCTTCAAGCTGGGTGGTGGTGGCACATGTCTTTAGTCCCAGCACTTGGGAGTCATAGGCAGGCAGATTCCTGTGAGTTTGACACCAGCCTGGTCTACAAAAGCTAGTTCCAGGACAGGCTCCTGTCTCGAAAAACCAAAAAAAAAAAAAAAAAAAATAGAATCTTGTTTCATTCTTCTAAATGCAACTACCCAGCTGGACCAGTGCAAGTTGTTGAAGATGCTATCTTTTCTCAGTATGCATTTTAGGTTCTTTATTTAAAAAAATCTGGTGATCTTGGACTTAAATCCAAGTCCTCAATTGTATTCTGTTTATCAATGTGTCTATTTTACACCAGCACTATATTATTTTTATTAGTTATTTTTATTACTACAGCTCTGTATATAACTTAAAACTAGACATTTAATGCCTCCAGCACATTTTTACTGTTCAGGATTATTTATTGTTACCACCTCCCACACACACACAACCTAGCTCTCTGTCTGTCGGTCTCTGTTTCCATATGGAATTTAAGATTATTTTTTCAGTTTATGTGAGGAATTGCATTGGATTTTTGATGAGGATTGTGTAGAATCTGTAGATTGCTTTTAGTAAGAAGGCCATTTTCACAATAGTAATCCTACCAAAGTGTGAGCATGGGAGGTCTCTCCATCTTTTGTTGTCTTCTTCAATGTCTTACGTTTTTGTTATAGAAATCTGTCTTAGTTAGGGTTTCTAGCATTGTGATAAAACACAAAGGCAACTTGGTTAGGAAAGACTTTATTTGGGCTTCCAGCCCTCAAGAGTCATTCTCTATCACTGAGAGAGGTCAGGACAAGAACTCAAAGCAGGGACCTAGAGGCAGAAACTGAAGAAGGGGCCAGGAAAGAATGCTGTTTACTGCCTTGATCCCATGGCACGTTTAACCTTTTCTATAGCACCCAGGGCCACCAGCCTGGGAGATGGCTCTGCCCACAGTGATCTGGGCCCTCCTACATCAATCATCAATCAAGAAAAGGCACCATAAAGTTTGCCCACAGTCCAGTCTAGTGGGGGCATTTTCTCAATTGGGGTTCCCTCTTCCCAAATGACTGGATCTTTATAAAGGCGGCATAAACTAGGCAAGACAGACTCTTTTACTTCCTTGGCTGCATTTATTTCAAGACTTTTTTGAAATTATTATGAATAGGACTATTTTCCTGGTTTTTGTTTTGTTGCTGGTGCATTTGTCATTTTTTATATATAGGAAGGCTACTTTTTTGTGTGTTAATAATGTCCTGCTTCCTTGCCAAATGTTTTTATCAGCTGATGGAGACTTTTGGTGGAGTCTTTAGAGTATTTTAGTTATAGAAACATGACATCTGCAAGTAAGGATACTTTGAATTTCTTCATATCCTATTTGTAACCCCTTGATTTCCTTCATGAGTCTTATTGTTGTTAAGACTTCAAGCACTGTATTGAACAGGATGGAATGAGTGGAAATCTTTGTCTTGTTTCTGATTTTATTGTATATGGTTTGTGTTTTTCTTTATTTAGCATGATGTTGGCTGTGAGCTTGTTGTATATTGCCTTCATTGCATTGATATATGTCCCCCGTATCCCTAGATTTTCCAGAACTTTTATCATGAAGGGATGTTGGACTTTGTCAAATGCCTTTTCTGCATCTGTTGAGATGATGGTGTGGTTTCTGACCTTGTGTCCTGTTTATATGGTGGATTATATTTATTGAGCTATGGATATTAAACTATTTATTCTTTTACTCTAGGATGAAGTCAACAGGATAACTGTGGATAATCTTTTTCATATGTCCTTGAATTTGGTTGGAAAGTATTTTGTTGAGAATTTTTGTACCTGTATTCATCAGAGATATTTGCCTGTAATTTTCACTTTTGGAGGATTTTTTGTCTGGTTTTGGTATAAGGGTAATGGTGGCTTCATAAAAATAATTTAGAAATATTCCTTTGTTTTATATTTTATGGGATAATTTGAGCAGTATTAATATTCTCTGAAGGTCTATTAGAATTCTACAATGAATCCCTCTGGCCCTGGGATATTTTTAGTTGGGAATTTAAAAAGTATTCACAGAAAAGCCTTACAAGTAGAATGATTCAAGCAGAAGAAAGAGAATAGCAGGACTCAAAGGTAAAGTACAAATTCTAAAACCTATAAACAAAATCATGAAAAAATTTAAAACACAGGAAAGAAATATGCAGTTAATGTTGGACACCATGAAAAGACTGAATTTTCAAATTATAGGCATAGATAAGAGAGAAGAATCCCAGGTCAGTGGCATAGACTAAGTCTTCAACCAAGTCATAGAAAAAACATCCCCAAATTAAGTGAAAGGTAGATGCAACAAGTACCTAAAACACCAAACAGGTAGGAGTATAAAATACCCCAAGGCATATAATAATATATAATATATATCATAGG